GTATACACTGGCCGGGCACCAGTGAGAGATGATAGGTGAGGATGAAGCAGGTCAGTTAGCCCATCGTGATGAATTCAACAAGGATTGTTCACGATGGTTTCCATGGGGAACCACATGAAGGTCGATTAAATAAGGTATATTGCTAGCAATGGGAATGTCAAACTCCATTGCTAACAATCCCTTTCCCTCCTATTAATTGCAGTTATGTTTCAGTGATGTTTTAAGAGGGAGGCTTCTGCTAAATCCTCGACCTTTAAGTTCACTTAATCACCTCTTACAAAATCCACGGGTTAATTATAGTGTATTAATTTCTAAAACTTTGCACTTGTTTCCACGTAAATTTGTTTTAATCAATACTTTTGTGACAATTATCTTTTAAAAATATTTTTATGAGATATCATACAAATGTAACTTAACAAAATTAGGTACAATCTTAATTTCATAAAAAAACTAACTTTAGTAGTGGCAAAATTAGTTTTTTTTTTAAAACAAATTTCTGAAACGACTTTGATAAAATTTCTGTTGAACCAATACGTAATATTTTTTTAAATCGAATAAAAAATGACGGTGTTATTTGGTAATCAAAATAAATGAAATACAACCGAATTGAGAACCTCTTTCTTTTTGAAGTTAATTGGAAACGTTATAAGTTAACACTTTGTGGCATACGGATAAAAGCAAACTTGACATTATAAGGTCACTAAACTTATACTGTCAAGTTAGTTTCGTTCTATGAAATCTCAAATAGTAGCCAGGTTTATTAAAACATGTCCTTAAAATAATGGAAAATAATTATATTACAAATTAATATTTTGAAACGACGAACATAATGTAAGAGATAATATCGTTATTTCAAGTGGCGTAGGCGTAGCTACGGTTCGCTACGGATCAACGTAAATTCGTAGTACATCATTGGATGTTTAAAAATAAATATTTATAGTAGAAAAAAAAAACAGTCTAGTGCGAGTTGAAGTTACATACCGATGGTTCCTTACATAAAATATTTTTTTTAAATCATTTATTTATATATTTTTTTTGCCTCGAAAAAGCCATTTGTTGATAATCGGTAAATTAGTCTTATTGACAAATAAGTTTATTTAAAAAGAACAACAATGAATTATCTACTATGTTAGCTGGCAATCTTTTTATTGTAATAAAAAAAAAATATTTAAAATTAAATGATAAATAAAGGGAATGTTAACGAGAAAATAATTATATATTTTAACCTAAAACAACTGACCGAGATACAACGGACAGTTTAATTTAATTTGCATCATATTACGTACAAAACTATTGTCGAGTTCAGTCCCTGCTTCATAACTTCGTGCAGAATTGAAACTCGTGTCAATCAACCCTTGTAGTTTGATATGTCAGTTCACATATTATTTGTATTTGTATTAAATTATTAATAATGTATATTAAATTATTATTCGTGAAATAGTAATAACATATATTTTTATTATCTAATAAAAGAATACTTTTAAAAAATATCTTTACATATTTGTTTGTTTATTTAACTATTTTCTACTTTTTGGTTCTTAAATGGCATATTTATCGTTATGGATTTTTTACAAAAGAATTTTTACAAATAATTTGAGACGAAGAAAGACATAGACTATTTTGTTATCCCGTCAATAAATATAGTACTTTATAAAAGCTATAAGTCGAGATAAATTATGTATTATACTAAATAATTCGTTTTTAATATATCATTATTATAAACTGTACAGTTTTATTAATAAAAAAGCCATATCTATATGTTATTCACTCGTAACTTATAAAAAAGAGTAATTTTTTGTGATATAAGGACTTAAAATTAGGATTTTATGATATGTGTATCAATATATGACCTTGGTGGTACAGCAGTTTAACGCACTACCTCTGCTATTTGCGTGCTCAATTCCCACACAATACAAATATTTGTATTCATATTTCTGTCTGTTTTTATTGATTTGAGCGTTTTAGACGTGTGGGCAGAGTAATACGTTTACATTTATAAATAAGTATTTTTAATGCTTTCTAAACTTATTTATTTTTAACTTTTATTTATTAACATTTTCTCATTAATTTCCTCTTGCTTCGTTATATATAAATAGGTATTTATTGATTATATTGTCTTGTACGTATGGTAGAAGTACTGCCTATTTTGTGCCTAGACAACGCTTTGTAGTATGTCATAAAAAATATTATCTGAAGGAAAATGTTTATTAATATACCGCATTTTAAAATATTTTTTGTTGTCTTTAATAAACAAAAAATATTGTATTTCAATATAGTTCTTTTTTTTTATTATTACCAGAATTGAATTGATGAAAGTAAACCTTTATTTTTAACCGACTTCAAAAAGAAGATTCTCAATTCCGGTGTTTTTTCTTCGTTCATCATAAATCCGTGGATTATAAACTAATTTTTAATTACCAGAGGGAGATTTTGTCCTATTTCTGTTTCTACCTTGAAGCTGTTGTATTTACATAGTTGTGTTTTGCTTTGAAGGTGGAATATGGCAATGAATTCACAGGGTACAGAGGAATAACACCTGAGACCTCAGGAGTGGCAACGCATGGGGATATCATGGGCGAAACACTCTCACTATATACATGAGTATACTCTGTTATGTACATGGTACTGCTCATGTCTATAGGCGACGGTTACTACTTTCCATCAGGTGGGCCGTCAGCTTGTTTTCTATTCTAAGTTACATAAAAAAAATTGAAAAAATCTTTCGTCATGTGAGAAGATATACTTACAAATTAGACCCATAGAAATTTTATTAAGATCGGTTCCGTAGTTTAGTTTCAAAATAAAAATAACTTGTTTTACCACAGTTGAAGTCAATTACTTTTTTTTGCAAAAAAAAACCCTTAATATTTTAATTGTAAAACAGAAAAGTTGAACATAACCGTTGCCTTAGAATTATATAATCTCCACATCTCTCTAAACAAGTATATAATAAAGATTGATAACATAAAACATAGAATTACTTACATAACATTCAAAAGTAGGTAAGTATTAAGTTACATTCTATTCGTACAAATATCAACAGTCTCTTAAGCTAACTTATTTATCTCGTAAAATACTTGTTAATACTGTATACAGACTGATGTTGTTGGACTGAGTTGACTTTTCCTCTGTTAAACTAGACTAATCGAGCAACCGGTCTAGCAAAACGTCCACCCTAATAAGATCTCTACAAGTTTATTTACTCGTCTCTATTACATTTACAAATCATTGCTCCCGAGGGAGGAATTGCAGGTCAATTAATGTTGGTTATCTAGATTGTAGATTTCTTTAGAGACATGTTTGACGAAGATACAACGAAGGCATGTGGTAAAGCAATAATTTAAGGACGAACTTGTTTTCACTACTAACTGAATTAAATCACTTCGGGCGATATTTACTTTGGTCAATTTATGTAATTCCAAGTTAGAATTTTGGTGATTTAGAGTTATTTTCGTTATAGTAGATTACCTAGTTCTGAATTATGCTCTAAGAACCCCGGTTTTCTTTGTCTAGTCTACATACGATTATAGAAGACCACACAATGACTAGACAACATAATTGTTACAAACAACAAATACGACAACAACAATAATATAGTATGGTGTTTACAATTATTATAGTGTGGTACACCTTATATACAAGTTCTACCCGCGAGTTCGTCCGTATAACTGAAATATATTAGTTAACTGAGATAAAAGTAATCAAAAGTAAAAGTAAATCCTCTATCCTAAATACGACGTATATGCTAAATTTTATTACCATTGGTAAGCGGTTAAAGTGGGGGAAGATAACAAAGGAACAAATAAATAAACAAACTCACATTCACTAATACAATATTAGAAACTTTTTGTTCTCTGATGCTCTTTAAGGTAGATATTAACTGTTAAAGTATCATTTTCATTATATTAGAAATAGACATCCTTTAATTACAAAACAAAATCAGTTCATTTGTTAGATTCAAACTCATGACGCAGAGGTTTTTGAAGAGGACTGCTGAACCGCTAAACCACAAACCTTGAATATAGTTACATAATACATTTCTATGAATATTAAATTATAATTTATTTCACGAGAATTTTTCTCTAATGCAAACAGATTTTCATACGATTAAATTGGAAATTAATTCTTTAAGCAAATAATTAATGTTCATTCATCGTCGTAGCAAAATCATTTCTACGTATTAAAGCGCCACTGTGACATTACAAGTCACGCACGCATATTAAAAACTAATCTAAAAGTGGGACGCGAAAGTAATACTTCTAAGTACCAGCGACTACGGCAAGTTATTAAACAACCGACAAACTTTTAATTTGAACTTGGCTACCGATAACAATGCAGCCAAAGTTAAACAGCCGGCCGCGGGGCGCGGGGCCGCCGCCAATCTTCTCACATTGCAGTACAAAAGCGTACTTCTTTGTAAGAACACCTCGCAAAACTTTATACGAAGTAAACTCTCGGCCGGCGACGAGCTAGTTCCGACCGACCGCCGTCCGCTCCGCTCGTCGCTTCCGCGCCCGCGTCCATCTCGCTACCTCGCTTCGCATCGCAGACGATCCGCCTCCAACAAACAAACGGACAAGTTTTAATGTTTTGCTCACAAAGTGTATGATTAAACGCGGAGAGCGGCGGAGAGAGTCGGCCGTAAGTTATTGATTTTCTACGACCGAACCCCTGTCGACTAAGCGGCTCGCGCTCTTGCAAGGGAGTTTCCACGCGATACACCACTTCGCAACTCGCCGTAGACGCTCTCCAAACTACTTTTATACATTTATACACTATTAAAATTACTTTTGTCGCAACTGAAAAACTTTTCTATCGATAAACCGGGTGTTGGCAAGTTTTTTCGGTGAGTTAGGTATTATGAGAAAAGTTAGGGGTGAGTGCGCAACGGCACCGCGGCCGGCGCGAGTCGCGCACCCTACAACTTCACGTCGCTCTACGTTCCGAAGTTAACGCAAAGTTCCGCCATTTTGGAACATGCTCACAACCCACTTGTTTTATAAAGAAACTTTTTATTAATTCCTGTGGGTCGCGGAGTGTCAGTAAGATGTTTTGAGGTTATGCTGAAAGACGAAAGACGTTTTGGTAACTCGGTGCTGTTGTTTTTGTGTTATAGTTACTGTGTACATGTCGGATACGAGTGTTTGTGCCGATTTCAGCTATTGTTTTGAAGTGTAACTCAGGTGACGTTTGTTGGATGACGCTCTTGTAATTTGTGTTTACTTCAACACTTGTAAGGGGGACGCTGCGATCACTTTTTGACCTTGCCTATGGTCCGGACACAAGGATAAGTGACAGGTGACGAGTGAAACTTAGTTTTACTAGTTTATTCCTACACAAGAAAGTTGGTACTGAAAAGTTTCAGTCAAAAAGTATTCACGAGTTCTACTTCAGTGACATAAGTGTAAAACACATACGATAACAAAGTGGGGAGAGTTTAATTGACGGAACCTAATGTACGTTTCATTGTTGCTTTTAAGTAAGCGAATGCACCTATCTCAGTTAATATTATAATTACCTGATGTATATGAAAATTAATTACTTTTATATTTACATTAATATTTAATATATTTATTTTGCTAATGTAATCAATGAATCAAATAACGGCTTCAAATTCATTAACATTTTGATTAAATTATTCATATTGTAAACATGTAAAACAAGTAAGAAAGTAATCGAAAACAAATAAATTATTCTAAACGAAACAAAGTAAACAGGTCTCGAAGCTATGAGCATCACAGAAAGGAAATTTTAAAATAATAATTTATTGTGGAAGATATAACCTTGTATTGGCGTATTGGTTAATTAATATTTTTTTATTAATCAATCTTACTTTAAATAATATTACGATATATTTACTACTATTATTATATTTTATGACAATAACTGTCATAAGTATTACAGTACAAAGTACGAGTATAAGTTAATTTGATAGTTTAGTAAATAATTCTTGTATGAATTTAACTAATCAAATTGTGTTAGATGAAACTCTAAGTTGGAATTGAGTTCATTAAAAGTTATCTACATAGCTACAGAATACTCGTACATACATTACATCGCGATCCCCTCTATAGTGGTTTCAAACTACTTAAGTAAATTATTGTTATACATTGAACATGCATATTTAATAGGCACATTACTTTATTCGTGTAAATATTAGTAATAAATAAAAAGTATAAATCATTGTAATGTATTCACCAATCATAATATTCACTATATAAACAAGTCATATTTCATAAAAAAAGTCTCATGTTCTCAGAATTACATGTCCCTTGAAGATATTTCTGCGGCACTAAGTCATAAATAAAGTAAAAGGCCTACGATATTGGATCGTTTTATTGAGGACGCCATTACAAAGTCATTTCAGCAACCGGTCCCAGTCTCAGTCCATTGTAGAAGGAAAATCTTTCTACAGTCACGGCTCTCGATGGGATAACGCAGATGCGCTTTAAATCCAAAAGGTCTGATCAACAGTACGACCTTCAAACAATAATTAACCTAATCTCTAACAAGTTAGGACGTAGTCTCGCGCGACGCCCAAGAAAGCTATGAAACTTTGTTAAATAACTTTTCAGATAACTTGAAGTTGGCGTATTTGCGGAAAGTTGTAAGCGGAATTTCACCGCGAGCTAATTCAATCTGTACTGGCTTGTAATAAACGTTGTTTTTGCGTAATGCCAATTGGGGAGTTAGTGCGCCTGGCTAAGATAAAAGTTGTGGACTTCGCGAAGCAAAACGCGAACTTTTGTAGAACATTTCAGTGTAGTTAGTACAATGTTATAATGGAAATAAGCACTTCAAAATGGCGTCGTCTGCAGCTGTGTTATGGGTGTATCGATTCACTGATGTTTTTGTGTGATCAATGCGAAATTATCTTGAGTTTATGATGTAATCACTGTTTGACAGTTCTATAAAGTAGAGAAGTTTAATAGAAGCTTTTATAATACATAATGATTTATAAACAATTCATTTCTCTAGCTTTTTGTTTTATAAACAAGATAAATGCTTCAGTTTTGTTATTATTGCTTAATTTATTTGTTTCATCATTTATTACCTATATCAGTTATTATACCTACATATATAATATTAGAATTATACGTATAATTTTTCATGTTCTGTTGCTTTTTATAATATTAAATATTCTCTTATGTATAATTTTATATGTGTTATTGGAGCTTACAAATAAACTTTCCTTTGTCTTACTTATTACAATAAATAAAAATATTATCATATCATATCAGCCGTTTACTGTCTCCGTTTTTTGAGAGGGATCTATGTTAGATCTTTCTCAAAAAGGGAAAAAGGAGAAGGGAGGGGGATTAATAAAAAAATGAAAATATAATCATATATAAACACACACATAGATAACGTAACTTTTCATTCTATTTTTATTTATAATGTATAATTTGATTTTAATATTTATTTGTTTATAATAATATAATTCGCTAAAATATAACATTATTAAATACAATATCGAAAACGTATAGTTAAAAGTTACGAGATTTCATAAAAAATATATTGTCAGTCACTATAATATTAAATTGACAAATTTTAATGTAACGTAATAAGCTTTTAATAAACAAATAATAAATTAATAGAATTCATAATCAAAATCAATCAAAAGTTCTCAGAAATTATTATCAGTTTATAGTAGGCCACGATTTACTCAAGTTGTGTTTTATCTACCTAAACAAACATTATTTGGCTCGCAACGGATATTGAAATCGGCAAGGTTAACTCATTATGAACCTCTGTGTAACTTAATACAACTTAGATTCAATATCAATCGGGAGTTAACAGGGATCTCTATGCCGGTTTAGCGACCGGGATATATACAGAACGGGACCAAAGTAAGTCTTATGTCAACGCATTAAGGTTTTGTTTCAATGTACTTTAAGTAAGTCACTGCCAATACACGAGCCACAATTTGGGCACTGCTTGGAGACGTGATTCAAATCAATATTTAGGTAAAGACTTATTTAAAACTTTAATACACTATCAACTTAGTATCTTTAAAAGTAAACTCTACATTGATGGAGAGGGAAACTTTTACAAAAGTCGTCTGCTTGGGTACCTCTGTCCCATTCATATTTCTGCCGTGAAGTAATTGTGTTTACATGACTTTCTTGCACTTTAAAGGGTGGAATAAGGCAATAAAATTACAGAGTACATAGTCATAATACCTTAGTCCACACGAGTAGCAATGCACGAAGGGTATTATGAGCGACACAGTATACTCTGTTATGTCATTGGTACTGTACATGTCTATTTACGGTTACCACTTTCTATCAGGTGGGCCGTTAGCTTGTTTGTCATTCTAAGTTATATAAAAAAAAATACATTATATGTAGTGCCCATATTAGATAAAAAAGAGCAATTCGACGTCGCATAGCAATCTGTGCCAAGCATAAAATATAAATGCAACTATGTATAAGCACCAGGAATATACATATATAAAGAAGTATGTATAAGTACCAAGAACCAATTGGATTTTCAATTAACGCCACGATAGAAGTATAATAAAAAAGTTTTGCAAGATAAAATATAAATCTGATCATAATACTGGTTGATTTATAGTAGGTACATTTACTTATAAAATCTCTATTGGATTTATTTAATTTACATGGTACTCTTAAAAGTTATGTAATATAATTTACACAATACAACTCGCCTGCCAAACGTACCAACTACTGGTAAACCCCCATTATGGGATGTTTGTTAGAAGTTGGTACGCCGTTATTACGGGGGAGGTCTATGTTTACCAGTGGTCAGTTAACGGCTAATGCTATACAATATAATTAATGATATTATAATAGTTCTATCCCTACACAACAATAGAATTTATCATTGCTATTTGTGTCCTTACATTAATCTCAGATTAGTTTTTAAATTTTAATTAAGTACTATGGAATTATACGTCAAACATAATATCATAACAGGTAGATGTATTGTAAAAAAACAAACAGCGACTACAAATGTGCATAACAAAACTGCTATGGGACTAATACGTTAGTAAACTGAATGAACATAAAAAACAATAAAAACAAAAAAAAATTGTTTTGAATTGCATAATACACAAAAAAGTACAGACGACAACGAGAACGATTATTTCATTTTTTCAAATATAAAACAACATATAAAACAAAAAAATTAATATTGGAGATATGTTTTCAGCAAGTGTGTCGCAGTGACCCAAAAAAAAGTGATACCTTTGCTTAAAAGCAAAGCACTGATTTTCAGCTGCAACCTGAAGTAAGGCTACACGGACGCGTGCAACAAACCCAGAGTGTTACCAATTTAACCTTTTATTTTGACCTTGAAAAAATTTTGAAAGTACAGGCGAAACGAGAACGTTCTTTTTTTAAAAGTCACTTTAAAAGGCGTAAATTATAGAATTACAAATATTTTATCGAAACGAGCGCGAACACAATGGCAATCGAAGATTGATACTCGTAGCTAATATGGAAGTTTGTGGAACTTATGGTAGTAAAAGTGGAGGTCGATCTTCGAGTGTTGGCAGTCATGCACATACTAATGGTAGTAGAACTAAACACAATAATTCGAACCAAATAACCAGTGACATAGACTTCAAGATAACACCTAGTTCAGTAAAATATTTTAGGAAGAGTACACACTCCAAACATTTAAGCTCTTACTCTTAAAATCTTCAAATGTCTCATTAATCTATTTTAGCTGTTGAACTGTTTTATCTCTTTCTTTTACGCTACATTCCCGATTAGAAAAAAGTGGCAAAACATTTCAATAGTTAAAATAGATTTGTAGTGGATTTTAATTTTTATGAATAAGGGGATTACTATTCCTAAAATGTAACAGAAATTAAAAAAATTAGCAAAACAATAGCCTCGGTGGTACCTATGACTGCAACACAGTTGAATAACTCTTGAATTTATTGCGATGACAAAGGCACCATTGCATAAATTGATACTTATTAAAAGTATTCGCTCAACTATCTTACTTTTTCATTTTAGCAAAGTACAATGTCAGTTGCAAAAAACGATAAAAAGTTAGTCTACATCGTAAAACTGTCAGTTTCATTCGTTTCCAAACGCAAATCCTTAGCAACAGAAATACTTAATGAAACCACTGAGTACAATGAGAGAATCAATAAATATCGCTCGACATAAAAATTTTGCAGACAAAATATACTCAACTTCCATCCTCTTCTTAGAAAAAGGAGCAAGAGGTCACTTTAGATTGCCATGAATATATTTATGTAAAATTGTATTAAAATGTTATTTTTGGACAAAGTAATAGCATAAGAAAGAGGTACTGAGAAT